ACAAAGAAAACATGGCACCTTCAAGCTCAAGCTCTAATAGTAACACCACTGTAGCCCCCTGTAGTTAATTTGAGCTCTCTGAGTGTTCTGCCCTTTGCTCAGGGCTCTCTCCACAGTGGCTTTACCTGTTTATGGTTTATTTGAGCTCTGGAATCATCACATTGTAAGCAGCAGGGGAAATACACCAGTAAGCAAATTTGAAAAGAAAATGGATCAGAAATGCATGATATAGGAAATACCAGATCAATCTAACAGCAAAATACAGTCTTCAAAAATACTGCATGAATTCTTTGTGAAACATAAATTGAGAGATCGATATGCATGTACTAAATTCCCATTAGCCTCAGTTAAGTTACAAAAATAGAACTTGTAGAGGAAAAAATAGCTCTAGGGTTTGCAAGAAATTTACTTTTCAGTGTACTTGTAAACATGTAAGATAATCTTAGAACAATCTTAGGACATGAGAAGTGTTTGTTTATTTCCTCATTGACTTGTGCCTTCAGCTCCTGTTTYCTGTAGCTGCTATAAATGTTTTCTTAAGTTCACATGAGAGAAGACAAGCCATTCAACTTTTTACTAAAAGAAGACTTGAAAAGCACTCTAAAAATGTGCAACACCGATTTTATAAACCCAGAAAGAAATATCTGCTTTAACTTAAAGGTACTGAAATCCCCCATTCTAAGGACATAGACTCTTCCACTGTTGGTAGTACCATCACTGGGAAGAGTTACTGATTGTTCTGGTTTGTCACTGGAAAGAAATTGCAGAAAACAGGTACCAAAGACTGTGTGATAGTTTACAGCAGAAGTTTGACTGCATAAGTTATGATCTAAGCAGAGACAAAATCTAATAGCTTTGCCTTGTTACTTACTGTGCTCTGACAACATTACCACACAATTTTCCTCGTTATTTAAAAGGTTGGGTTCATTAGGAGCCCAGGCCACATAGGTTACTGGAGTTCCATCTATCCAGCTTAAAGAAAATATATACAATCAGTTATTAATTAATACACCYCTGTTTTGAGATTATATTCTTAATGAACACCTCACAGTTAAGAATGTCCATGAGAATTAACAGAAACTGGCTACAATGGGAGTGACTGATTTTCTTTTATTTACCTAATTTTTCTAAACTGAAGAAACTTCTGTAAAATATTTCTGGTTACAAAATAGAAAAAGGAGGCACCAAGCATATTTTCTGTTAATGAGCAGGATTGTCTGACATCATTTAATATGAAAAACYAAAGCCAGTTACTCATAATACATARTRCAGAAAAKAATATTAAAATTTTAACTAATTTCATTGCATTCTTAGTTMATATTATGCTGCTCAGTTTGAGCATTGCTGGTATTTTCATAGATGAAAACAAGAATGAAAATACTGTTCTGTGGATTTTTTAAAATATTTTTCTGTAGTCTAATTGACATTCTGTCGGCTTTAACATCATCCTTTTTCTACACAACAGGAGAAAGAGTGTATGGAGGGTAGGGCTGCCAAGCCTTTCGATGTGATTACTCGAGGAAAAAATGTTCTTTTACTATTTATTTTTGGGGAAAACTATTAGAGTTTAGAATATTCTATGACCATTCCATTCTGCTTTGTGCACCATATGTGGAACTGCCTTTATACCTCATAAAGGACATATTCAGTACCTCGGGCTACATAAAACATTGTATTTGTTTCTACGAGCTGCACTGATCATTTTAACTTACCGAAACGTTTTATCAAGGCTCACTCTTAGACCGATGAAATATCCCGTTCGCCTACTCTCGTAGTATTCCTAAAGAATAAAGACACTAATTAAAAAAAAAAAAAAGAAATCTTTGAAGCAAAACAAGCAGAAATTGATACACCATTATGTTCACAGGGCAGTGTCATGGGTTTAAAGCCTGAAAATTCCCTTTCCTGACCAACCGGGCGGAAACACCAGAAATGTTGTAGTTTGAACTATGCCCCTGACGTTCCCTCCCTTCTCCCCCTCCACCGGAGAGAGAGAAGGGAGAGCGAGAGCAAAAAACCCAATTAACTCGAAAATTTATGGCTTTGAGATAAACATAATTGGAAGAAAGATACCTATGTACTCCACAAAGATAGTCAGACAGGCTGCATAACTTAAGTTGCAAAACAGATTTATTACTACACACTACTAAGAATGGCACTGGGTGAAAAACAAAGATAGGGATATTTACAAAGAGAAGAAAAATAAAATGGACAATTTAAGACACCTGATACACTTTCCCGGGGACCCGTCTCTTTTTCCAAGTCCCCCCATCTCCACCCCTCCCATGTTGTCCCTCACACACAGGGGGGCAGGTGAATGAAAGTCTAACACAGATCAAAACACTCAGCTGTTGTCCAAGCGTTGTAGGATACAACATTCTTACAGCTCCAGCTGTGGGATGTGTCCTTTTCTGAGAAACAGTCAGTGTAAACTGCTAATAGCAGAAAGGAATTTCTTTACCTCGCAGGAGAAAAGAAAAGAAATGTCCTTCAAGGCCCATGTTGGTTTTTTTCAGCGACGTGAGTCCGATTATCACAAACTTCCTGGCAGAACACCAAAACACAGCTTCTTCTACATCAAAACTTCATGGGGGGAGCAAACCTCTTCTCTATTTCTTGGCTTCATAATCAAAAACAGTCCGGTCCTCAAAAGGCCAGGGTTTTTTTCCCTCATAGCAAGGTCGCTTTACTTCTCTATTCGGGTCTCTCTCAATATGATGGAAATAGTCCTTTTCAAGAACAACTTATCTCCTCCATGTTCGAGAACCACAGGAAGGGCACAGCTTCTCCTTACTGTTCTATGATCTTTAGGTGTCTCCATTTTTCTTCTTACATCTCCTCACCCTCCCGTTCTGTTTTTTTCCAGTGCAAGATACTAAAACTACATGCTATCAACCTAAGCTAAAACATGGCGGCCACATCTATCTTGTTTTGAATTCCTTCTTAAATACAACAAAATACGTCATCACAGAGGTGTAACTAYYYTGTGYAATTGGCCCAGGCCTGATGGTCAGCCTGTCCATCAACCTCAGAACCAATGATGGGTTGGCTCTGAAACACAGGAGTGGGGCAGGGCTCCCTTTGCTGGAGAAGAAGAAGAAGGAGACACCCCCTAGGATTTCTCACAGCAGCCATCTTTGTGGTTTCTTGATCCCCATCCCCCACCACCACAAATTGGACCAAGCAAAACCATGACAGGCAGCCAGTGAGATCCACAGCAGTAATGCACTTTNGCAGCCAGTGAGATCCACAGCAGTAATGCACTTTCTTGCAGTTAAACACAGCAAAGTTTTTATCTGAGACAGCAGAGCCGAGTCCTGCAGCACTGAAGGCTCTTAGGATGGGGCAAGAAAGAAGCTAATCTCGGGTCAGAATCTGGTGCTCCTTTTTTATTCTCCCTCAAAGGCTTCCCAAGAGAGTTGGTGCCTTCCCTCATCGCTCCTCCTGTCTCACCACCTCAGCACGGCTGGCACGGAGCAGGAGAGGCCAAATCCCATGGGATCAGAGGGTGCATTTGGGGAGATTCCATTAGTGAAAATGCTGATTACTCTGCTTGTGAGACAACTGAAGTTTTACAACAGCAGATTGTCAGAAGCATTTCTACTTTAGGCTGGCTGTTATAATGATTCTTACATTTTTTTTTAGCTCTCTCTGTAGGAACTTTCTCTCACTGTCGCTGTTAACAACAGCTAGGTCTGCAGAATGCTGCCTGCAGAACTCTTGGGCTTTTTCCATGGAGACCCGTTCTTGGTTGAAAAAATAGAGCTTATCTTCATATATGACCCATCCATCTGCTGTGGTTTTRTATTCTGAAAGATAAATAAAGTAGCCTTAAAGTCTGTATGTGTAAAACACAGAAGCTCTTTTAGGAATAATTTAGGAGAAACAATTTAAACAATTTTAGGAGAAAAAATGAACGAATAATAAGAATAAATGTATACAAACACCTACCATATGTGTCAATTGGTTCAGATTTTAGTGACACTCCTGCAAAAGARGAGAATAGAAGACATGATGCATCTSTGTAATGTGTTTTATGATGTAGCTTGTGMCTGCAAAAAGAGAGAGAAACAGAGCAGGATTCTCCATCCCCTTGCCATTGACTGGAAAGCGGGCTTAGCTCCACATTTCAGCTTCACATTGCTCAACAAGCAAGGCCATCTACTTTAACTTTGTRTCATAAGCTGTGCTTCATATCAGCAAAGCCATAGCTTTGGTTAAATCACATTCCTGGTTGTAATTCAAGTGCAAGGCAAGGGAAAATTGCTCTTCCCTACTGTAAGCTACAGTAGATTTATCTGAAACACCTTAAACTTTGGGAGAGAACTCATTTACTGATCCATCAGTAGACATTCCAGAATTCATGTGGGGGCAGTTTTCATCAAGAGTGAGAAAATTTCCACCATATTTACTTTAGCTCTATCAAAAGACTCTGAAAAATATCCATAAGCAAAAGGAAATATGACTTCATATGTGTGTATACATATGTACATATATATATATATATATATATATAGATATACACTGACTGTGAGTTATTTCTGGTTGTGATAAAAAAGGACATGGCACTGCTTTGAACCATTGCTTTTCCAAAAGCAGTTGAATTCTGAATAATGTGACAGGAGACATTGAAGTAACAATAAATCTGACAAAGACATCATACTTGATTTTTAACTTTACCTTTACCTATGTTAGCATAAAAAACAGTGTTATAAGGAATATAATAAAAATTCTTACAATTCCTCACCTCCAACATTATAAAAATRAAAGCAAAATATTCTTAATATTACAAAATTTTGTACTTTTGCAAACATATGGATTATTTATATACCCTAAGTTATGTCCCAAAAATCTATTTGTTCTTATMATCCATAATTTTAAAAATCTAACTTAGAAATAAAATATTATTAAAGCTTTTTAAGCTTTCTGCCAAAATAGAAGAAATTTACCTTGTTTTATTTGACARACCCAGTTATGATGTACTTGACAGACCGAAAGAGACAACTCTTTAGAAGATCTATAGTAGAATGAGCCACAAAACTTGTGTCTTCCTGAATGGCTTGCACTAATATCCCAGTCTGTGTACCTAACCTATAGAAGAAATCAGCTTTGTTACTCCTTCCACATGTTTCAGTAGTTGTGCTTTCCATTGGAAAACAGAAACTGACTGCTTTGGTCTCAGAGATTCCGTTTTTAGCTGAAAAGCGTTGGAAATGCAGGGAAAGCAGCAGCTGTAAGGATTTTACAGTGGCACAGTGGTGTCAGTGTTCAGACATGGCTGTCTTGCCAYGAAGGGCTTTTCCTCTTGTTTGTGCCTCGAGCCACAGACAGACAGCAGAGAAACAGGCAGACAGAGTGTTTCTGATGAGCTTCACCGAGSCATGAACTTCACCCACCCGTCACTCGTGCTGATCACATGCAGACAGGGAACTTGTCACTCCGCGTCTGACCTGGCTCAAAATTACATGGTCCAACAGCTGCCTGGTGACAGTCACCAAATCATGCATCAATTCAGCATTCACTTCTTCCCTTCCCTGAGGTTTATGAGGATGGGAGCCTGACTTTCGGGAGGGAAGTCATGYCCTGTAAATCTAGAGAAGCTAAAAAACTGACATGCAAATGGAGACATCCACTTGATACAACCTACTTACTATTTTCAAGAAGTTCTTGATAATATCAGTTTCTGAAATTCTATGGAAACTAATGTGAACAGGATAAGAGGAAAGGTCCTTGTTTGCATTAAAAAAAAAATAAAGGGAGTAGTAGTAAATGGAGGGTTATAAAGGATGGAATCCTGCAGGAATGTTTTCCACAGCTGTAGATATTTGCATGGACTCGAAGAGACGACTGGATAAATTAATGGAAATTAATTAATTAAATTACATATATGAGTCCAGTTGTTAAAGACTCTGAGCCATCACTTACTGGGGGATTCAGGAGTGTGCTAGGAAAGATGCTTGCTGTTTAATTAGCTCTTTAGACTTTTATGGCTATTGCCAGAGACAGGATACAGTGTAATGAATTTTTATGTTTTGACCTTAGGTGTTAATGTGCTCTTCTTGGAAGTGAAACTAAGTTGGGTGTTTCACCAAAAACTACAGATTCTGATGTGATACAAACAATTTCCATGTATTCAAACAATATTAGTCAAACTAGGATATTAGTCATGAAAATACAAGTTTGCAGCCATGTGAATATTTGTAGGATTGGTGTTTTCTTTGATGAGGATGACAGTAAAAAGCTAAAAAATATATGCACAAATCCCAAAGCATCTTAAGCAAATAAACTTGAAAATACTTACTGGAGAACCATCACTCCAAGCAAGTCCTTCATCTGGATTCAAGGTAAATATACCGATCCAAGTGTTTTGAAACGAACAGTGAGTAGCCCTAAGAGAAATTACAGCACAGGRCAGTGTGTAAACATCAACCCAAAAAACATCCAGAAATACATTGTTGAACTTTCTAGAGSACATTGTAAAAGCAGTGAAGTTGCAAATTTCCCCATTAGCTTTGTTGAAGTACATACATATATTCTTTATAGAAATGAGTAATATTTCTGTGGTTCCGAGTCAACAGCTTAGTTATCAGACTTATGAGTAGTATTGATCATTCCTTCAAGTACTATTTACTTAGTGAAAATCTTCACASATTCAAAAAGAGGTTTCAGCACTGACTACTTCAAAGTAGATATACATATCTACTTCAGCAGTAGATACATTRATCATGTTTCCTAGCCTAGTAGAAATACCATTAATTTCATGTGCTTCTAGATTTTATCTGGCAATCATGATACTAGATAAATTTTTTTTCACATAAACCACTCTTTTTTTTTTCCATGAAAAGGTTGAAAATAGAACTGAGTAGATAAATTTCAAAGTATCACAGTGTTTTTGGCTTTTGAGGAATCTATATGTTTCAGAAATCCTCTAAGATCATTCATGATAGTCATATGAAAAATCTTTTAGGTCTGGTAGATAAACACAACAAATACCAACCATATTGCTTCGATTAGTAACATCCTGTCCTCTTTAGTGCTAATGGTGACCAGATCCCCTCCTATTTGTCTGCAAAAATCTCGAGCTTCAAACCATGATTTCTTTCTAATATTTGGTCTGCAAAAATTCTATGGAGAAAACGTATTATATACATGTTACAATAATGAAAGAAATTTAATCTTCCTTACCCTTAAATGAGGTTTCATGCAAGCCAAGTAAAAAGTAAAAGAGAAATAGCATTTTCCTCTCTGTTCATAGAATTTTTACACTAAAGTTGCCCATCCAGTTAGCACAGTGGTGACAGACCGAAAAAAACACTAAAGTTGCCCATCCAGTTAGCACAGTGGTGACAGACCGAAAAAAACCCCAAACAAACAAACAAAAAAGAAAAAAAAAAAAAAGGAGGAAAGGAATTGCTAGAAGGGAATACAACTGTACAACTCCCTAGTTCCCTTTATCTGGAGGAGGGCCCAAGTAGTCATCTTCCACATGAAGGGAAAGAAGAATAGTTGTGGTGGAAAGGCAAGGTGGCCTGGAAGGARTCTGAAGATACAGACAAAAGAATGACCTCAAGATAATTTACAATTCTCACTTTACATTTGTAGTATGATGTCTAACTAGTTTAAGAGAGAAAAAAGCACAGACTTAACCAATGCTAGAAAATTATGATTTGGGGATAAAGGAGCCCAAGTAAATAACATTCCAGATGAATCTGAAAGAAATGAAAATAATAACAAAAAGAGAAGGACTCATTAATTCAAGAAAGTGATAAGAAATATTAACATCTCGCACTTAGCACATTTCATCTTTGCATGATCCAAAATCACTGTGCATTACACTCATTTCTTGTTCAAACCCCTTTTTGTGACTGCTCAGATGCAGCTGATTGTACTTCAAACACAAGTTATCTATAGCTTTGCATCAAAAGCTCTCAAATAAACGCTGGTTTAATTAACCTTTCATGTGAATTTTTATCCTTTATTTTGTGGGGCAATGTGCTTATTTTAGCAAGGTCCAGCCTTAGGCATCGTGCTGCTGGAGGATGCACTTCACTGTTTCTTTGTTCATTCCCTGAACTCTTGCACGTCTCAGACAAAAGCCACATCTTTGCACAACAGACATAGAGAGCAATGTCAACAAGCCAGCTTTGCTGTTTCTGCTGTTTAATACAGAATTGGCATTTTCCTTTTAATAATTTTAATATGAAGTTGTTTTCTGTTTTTCTACTTTTCTTTCTGCCTTTCTGGGGCCTTGATATTTATGTTCCTCTTCTTCCATTTCCTGCTCCACTTCATTCAACCCCTGAAGCACAAACTTCCTCTTCTTTTTTTTTTCTGTGCCCTTCTCCCCTCCCTCCCCTTCCCTTCCTTCATTCCCATCTTTCTTCCTTAATTTCTCCCCCCTCATGGATACTTTTCTGAGAAGAATTTTGGTGTTTTTTTTTTTTGTTGTTTTTTTGGTTTTTTTTGCTGTATTCCCATCTCAGATATTGCAAAATGAAGATGTCAGTTCCTTTTTCTTTTTTTTTCCTGGTTTAATTTTTTCCCCCAAACCAAGCTGCTTCTTTTAACTATTTAGGTGCTTACTTTAAAACAGGAACTTCTATGGTTGTTTGATATCCAGCCATCAGGGCATGTGGAGACCAGAGCAGTAGTTGGAATTGGTGGAACTGTCGCACCCTTTGCCCACTGCTTGCAAATATATTTTTGCTTTGTCTCACAGTCAAGAACATCCCATAAWCCAGCTGCAGTCCCAGTTCTCATGGCTACACATCCTGGATTATTTCCTTTARGAGAAAAAAAAMMCCAAAGTAAACATGTTGGATATTCMAAAAAGTGTGAATTATTTAATTCTGTTTAAAAATCTTTGAGCAGCAGCCATTCACATTTTGTCATGCAATAATACTTGAACAACRAAGTTATATTTTAGAGAGACAGGCACACAGACAGAATAGTATTTTCTGTTTGAGGAGGTCATGATCCATGTAGAATCCTGGTTTTGGTTTTTTYCAATGTCCTGCCTAATTAATTGTTTGGGTAGAAAGTAGGGTGAGGGGTTTTTGACAGCGAAATATTGCATTTTCGAGAAAGAAACTCATTTCTATTTATGTTAAGCCTGTTTTACATGAGATAGCATTACCTCATGCAATACCTCAATCCCTAGTGGCTTTCACATAGATGACAACAACCCCACTGGTGCACACAGAGGGCAGGTGTGCAAACCCAGACAGCTTCAGGGTAAAACTTATCCCATGGTGTTTGCTRTAATTTTAGTTCTCTCAGAAGGAAACAGAGCTGCCTACATCACACAAGGTGTATTCAAATGAACAAAGTGGGCTTATTCAATTGCTCATTTGTGCTCTTCATATGGTGTTTGCTAAGGTTTTATTAGTCTCTGTCTTTTGTAATATTTATTATTTTTATTTTACATTTCATAACCTCACTGAAAGTTTTCAAGACAGTTTTCAGACAAACGATCACTAGATCGAAAAACAGTACATTTCAGGGAGAGCAGATTTCCTCATRGCATTATGAAATCTTGGTTTCTGTTCTTCTGCACAGCTTGAACCCATTGCTTAGTATCATACATWAAAATAATAATAGCACAGAGATTTTTGATACTTTGAGTTTGTAATTCTAACTTAAAATTCATATTAGTTGCTCCATTTCAAACTCTTCTCCCAGGCTAACTTTTTCCCTAGAGGACAAGGGTGAAATAGTCTCAGGACGTCTTTGTAACTCCTGTTATCTCCCTGTGAAGACAGGTCAGAAGGTTAGCCTTATGGGTAACTATATCTGTTGTCCTAATATAAAACTGCAGCTCAAATTTTTCCCTTTGAAATTAAAATATGGGATTTGAAAGCTGCCAGTGCTTGTAAAATACACCCAAAGTTTAAAACATAAAATTCAGAGGGCATTGCCCACACAAACCCAAATAGGGACCACAGTCTCAGAGAGCACCTACCAGGCATTCCTTTGTCCCAGTGTGTAAAGGAAACAGCTTCACCATTGGCCCACCTGAAAGTGCYTCGATCCTGCACATCAGAGAGGCCAAGCCAGAAATATTTCTCAGGCCTCAGCCCAATAAGGCTTGTCAGATAGGCTTGCTCATACCTGTAAAAGGGATCATGAAAATGCAAGTGAAAACATTTACCCAAATCCTACTTKTCTAATGTAACAATGAATTCTTTTCTCCTTTTCCTTGCATCAGACTGGGAGAGAAGACCTCACCACCAGGATTCTGACTCCATGTAAACAACACAAAAAAGCAAGACTCTTTTGTTAKTAAGCTAGAGACATCATCTGTTGCTTAAACACTTTGCTGTTTGGTGTTGTGTTAGCTTTTCTAGGAATTTTTCATGTGATACAATATCTAGCTATTGAAAAGCTGAGAAAGAAGTTATTATCATACCGACTTTCAACTGTGGCCAAGTAACCTTCTTCTCCTTCACAAGTGGTGTTTGCTTCGGAAAATGTTTCTGGAATATGTCCAATAAAATAGCAGTAGGTTCCATATCTTCTCCAGCCCTGTAACATGGTTTTAAGATTTCCATACAAATTTTAAATAATTGTCATATTGTGCATTAAGTGAAATATGCCATTTAAAAAATTAATGAAGCACAGTGATCATAAATATCATTAATTAGAAGCTTTTTCAGTGAAATTACTGATTCCTCTGAAGCAGGTTCTATAAATGGTTTTCTGAAGTTTAGAGTAACTGAGAGGGAGAGACTTCATAATAATAAAACAAAAAAACCCTTACGTGTAAATATTACAAATAATTGAAATAATTCTAAGTGATTCCCGAAAAAGGTACTTATTTCATCTGAGAAACTGATGTTCCATTCTCACATACTTACATTTTTGCAACCTGCATCAGTAATTTCTTTTTCTCCAGCTATTTGTGATGTAGCTTTTCTTTTACAAATGTAGCCAGCCTTCTTCTCACACACATAGTCTGCCCAATAGCCATTCTGTGTCAGGAAAAAGTTTGAAATAAAAATAAGATAAAAAGATGATTAATCCTTAAAGAAGCTAAATAATGTCTGTCTTTATAATGAAAATTATTCATTTTCTTTCTCCTTGTTTTTTCAAACAGATTTTTTTTTTAATCCAATTTTCCTACATGATAACAAAACAAAATTTGCTCACATTCAGTGAAATAGTAGACTGGGCTACAGCACAGTCACAGCTGGCAGCGATAAAAAGGGAGGAGGGTGCATGAAACTGGTCTCCATCTGCTGTGCAGGGTCCTGCACAGGCGGTTGTGCCATGGGATGGCAAATGAGCAGGCACAGAGGAGCCAGCAGGAACTGGAGATCCCCACATACCATCATTAGCACCCGAGGAAAAGAGGGAATGTACTCAAAATGCTTTCAGAGACCTGTTTCATAGCCCTAACAATTTCAGTCTTTAAGAGGAACTTAAAGAGAAAATTTCACTACTGATGCAGTAACGCTTTTATTTTTATTATTATTTTAAAGGCCCCATTCAATCTCATTCTTTTTCTCTGCGTCCCTTTTCATGCCTTTTTCTGGCCTTAGCCATTTGCTGGAATAACAGAGCACGTTATTCTTTTATAAGAAGTTTCAATATGGCAGCAGAATATGTAGTGCTGCTGTCACCTGGCCCTTGATGAGCACACAGTGCTCTGGCCGGTTGTTGGTGGTGGAGGGCTCTCCCAGGTGCCATTTCGTGTACGTCACTGGGCTCCCATCGCTCCATTCAAAATACATCTGAACCTTTCGGTYGTTCAGCCCGATCCACAGCTTGTCTGTTGGCTCTAAAAGATGGAAACTCAGATAAGACCTCTTGTGGCATTCCACCCTTTCAAAGCACCCTCAAGCTTTACAACTTGATTTACAACTCCTTTACAACTCCTTTCACAAAATTATGAAGCATTAAATTATTTCATGTTTACTGGTCACTTTATAAATTTTTTTTTTTCATATAGATATGAAAATAAAGACTGTATATTTTGGAAAATAAAGGCTGTATGATTTGGAAAATTAGGCTGTAGTGAAATCGTTGTACTGGATAAAAAAATGTTGCTCTCATTCCTCATAACAGTGGGTATGAATTACCAGCCTACTGCTGATAYACCATGATGGCATGATAGAACTCTGAATAGTTACTGTTTAGTTCCATTGCACTGGTCAGATTTTAAAACAGTGGTTTTATGTAACTTGAAGCGTGAATGTTTTAAGTGTCTTTCAACACAATGAAAAAAACAGAGAAAGCCCCTAAGCCCAGCCCCTCTGTCYTAGATCCATTACTTTGGCAACAAGTAAAATCAGAGTTTTGACAAGATCTAGAACCCAGYAGGAACTCTCAGTTCAGCTGTTTGGTTTTCCATACAGGCAAAGGCAAGAKATCCCCCTGGAAATACTCACTGTACCCAAGCTGAGACACCACAAAGCTGTGCTCCTCAAGGCTTTGGATGCTGGCCAGATGACTCCCTTCCTTCTGACAGGAGGCCAAAGCTCCTTCCCATCCTTTGCTGTCCCTGAAGATCTTATAGCAGTGACCTASRTAGGGCACCCATCCATCTGGGCAASTCACAGGTCCAGGGTCACCTAGGAACACGTGCCAAGGCTTTAGAGGAGTTCAACTGCCAGGCAAAGGGCTGTGACATAAAATATTTTCACTTAATCTGTGCACAGRTTCTAAACTAAGAATTTTCTTTTGAAATTCTCATCATTTGGAAATGATGAACACAAAATGTAGTAAACATAAATGAGATTCTAAGTCAGGCAATTTTTAGCTTGGAAAAGGARTGCTTTTTAATACAGATARTATCTAGTACAGATTTTAAGGTTAKTCAAATGTSTGTCACAAATATTTTATTTTATAATGTATTAATCAAATGTACTACTTTAGTAATTTATTAATTTTTGTCAGCTTCTGTATCACCTAGTACTTATTTGTCAGGTAGGAGAAATCAGGTGTTACCGCTATCTATGCAGCTATCTATGCAGCTAACATAGAAGGCTTATGAATTATTAAAGAATTAAGAATGTTGATAGAGTAAAAGTCATCAGGACATTTATAGCTATATGAATACATAGGAACACACCAACAGGGAAATCTTCATACACTTAAAATATCTTTTCTCACTTCAATGTGCCAATCTTCTGTAGTCTCAATCTTCCACTACTACTGCAGAGACCTCTGAATTTGCTAATCTGGGTGCTGGTTGACCACAAGTCATGGAGAATGACTTAGAACCACACTAAGTTCTCTATCTTTCTTTCTCATCCTTATTTTTAGTAATGTCCYTCTTCTGAAAAATAATATTTGGGTTGTTCTCCCTCTTGATCATCAGCAGTGTGTGTACTCAAAGGGGTGACCTGGCCATTGAAACACAGACAGTTTCATTCTGTGTGTTGTGGAACTGGAGGTCAGACTAGAAAGGTTGCAATAGTTGTAAAAAGCAAACCAGAGAAACAATAAATTGTTCYTATTTCTAATAGAATTCTTCTGTTCTTCCTTGTCAATAGACTGAGCAATTCAGAAAGCAGCTTCTATTTTAATTATCAAAATACAAAAACATACCTGAAGGAACCAAAGTAAAGTTCTTTTTCTTACAAATGTAACCAAGTTTCTGATCACATTCCCAATTTTCCCATTTAGCTTTTGCTTCCGGGTTCAAAACCACACAGAGCTTTTCAGATTCTGGAGAGGGGCTTCCTTTGGGAAAAGTKCAGAGGAAAAAAAAATTAACTTTTCTGAAAGACAGTCCTTTAAGCTCTAAAATATGCGTGAGAAAGCACCCCTGGATGAAGTGGTGGAGGCCATGTCTTCCCCAGCTTTGGCAAGAGCTAAGGTGGGTCTCTGGTAGTGGAAATGTCAGCATGAAATGGAGAATGCAAGTTAGGTAAGTGGATACCAACCTGTAAACTCTTCTTACTTTTGATGTTACTCAAGAAATGGATGACTGGATATTTTTGGGCCAGGCACTGTTGCTTTCATAGATAAAATATTTTTGCAATTGACTGAAGGTTTCTGTCTCATATTGCTATAGAAATAAATGTTTCTAAAGCTAAAGCAAGAAAAGCTAAAATATTTTTCTCACTGCATATTTATCTGATAATAAAATTTACAGCAGTATTTAAGGTATGTAAATTTTCTCTTTGGAAATATAGAATCAAACAGAGTCGCATCTACCTGGAGCCCAGTTTAAGTACTGGAAAGGGCTGCCTCCAATCCACTCCCATCCACCACTCAAGTCCAGTCTGTTGAGTCCAATCCACAGAGCAGAATCTGTACCTTCTATTAAGTCTAAGTTAAAGAAAAAAAAAGGTAAATTATTTTGTAAATGTTTTTTTATTAGCAATGGTAACTAACGTTGTCTCTAGAAAGATTTACAATTCCTAAATATCTAATTTCAAATATTRGTATGTACTGAAATATGTGATAAAWTGAAATATGCCAAAGCTTTGAATATTGTAAAAGGCAAACAGAAAATTCCTGTTTTGTTCTATCAACTAACACAAAATGAGCACAGATGTTATCCAGAGAGTATATCCAAAATAAAATTGTTTCTGTAGAGCAGGCTGAATTCTGTATATTTAAGTAGAAATATTGGTAGAGTATAATTATAAACAATAATAATAAATCTATTAGGGGTTAAATTAATCCTTAAAACCAATAATAAATAGTTTYTTCCATATAATTCCTCTTCAGCTGTATAAGTAAAGCTGCCATTTGRTATCTATAAATAACTGATATTTTTCAGTTTGCCAAGTGAATGAAAAAAACAGATGTCAAAACTGCATTTGACACAAAACACAACTTTCTTTTGGCATAAAGTTTTTGGTTTTTTTTTTTAAAGTTTCCTTTTGACCAAAAGTAAAACTTTCATTTACTTCTCAGGATTTTTTTCCCCATCAAAAAAATAAAAGAAAAATCAATGACATTTTAATAGAAAATAACATTTGTAAATATGAAGTCAAACTGTTACACTTGAAGGATGCTGAAATACTTTGAAAGCTCTGTAAATTTGGCAGCAATTTTGATATAAATTTGTAAATTGTAAAAGATTTTATTTTCTTGCCTACACATATTTAGATCAAAAGATAATGGCCAAAATCAAACTAAATAATCCTTAGCTCTTATGATGGCTTGAACGGCCATCCTGCCTGTAACCCAGGGTTTGCTTTACTGCCTTACCTTTAAGATATGCTTGTTCATGAATGTCASTGATACTCAGTAATTCTGCATTTTGCTGCTGACAGCTCCTCCTGGCTTGGTGCCATGTGAGAGCTGAGTCAGAGTTTATTTGGTAGTGAACATTTGTTGACAGATCTGTAGTCCAAGTGCTATCTTTGTCTGTGGAGAAAATAATTACAACAGAGTCATCTGAACTTGCCAGCAGAAAACTGAATTACAGGTCCTCTCTGTATGGAAGGTTCTTTTTGTCTTCTTAAATGTCACCTGTGCTGCTCTTTCAAGAACACTGAAAATGTTACAAGCAGATGGGAAATGACAAAATTAAGGTTGATAACTGACAGGTAAAGATGGCCTATACTGCCTCCTGTTCCATGAAGAGAGGTAAGTCAGGAATTACCACAAGAGAAGTGAGTGCATAAGAAAATACATTGCATGGAATGCTGCGGAAGAAATTCCAGGTGAAAACTATAAAAAGAGGTGCAACATCTCCTTCTCTTTCTGGACTGCAATTCCTACTGAGAGCTATAAGAACCAGCTCTAGACCTGAACTTAGCATCAAAATGTTCTCAGMTAAATCCCATCCCCTTGCAAAGAGCCCCTGGATTGTGCCTGTCACACAGCGATGGTGCTGAGCAGCGCCATGCTCCTCCTCTGATTACCTTTGCATCTTTGATTTGTTGAAGATCTATACATGCTCAGTCATGCACAATACAAAATTGTATCAGGTATTTGATAGTTCCCAAAAGTCAGTATGAAGATGAATTTAAAAAGAAGAGCAGAAAGCTGGGACTAGCTGTCAAAAACTCTGAAAATTATTAAATGACCCACCCCATGTCAAACACCCTCAGGGCTCAGTATCTGAGGTATCTTTGCAGGGACCTGGAAATCATATTTGACCAGGGATGTGTGACACCCTAAAAGTCCACTTTAAATGGAGTAAAGGGGCATTCTAATAACAAAAAACAGTGTCAAACAGGATCCATAGGGAGAAATACAGGGGGAAGAGGAGGTGTCCGATGGAGATTTCAACATCATGAATGGCAAAAACAAAACCATAAAGGGAGCTGGAGGAGGAAGTGGCCACTGAAACAGAAGAAAGTGATTGAAATTGCARAGAAATACCAGGCAGATGTCAAAGGGGTAGAAAGGCTGATTCACAGGCAAAGTGAACAGAGCTTAACAGCATGGATTAAAGGACACATTCCACTTTAGAAAAAAAATATATTCACATGAAAATCATGCAGATTGAAACACTGACTTCATCCTCAATGTTCCTACAGTGCTGATTTTTGTGCCCACATCCATCACGATGGGGGGTCCTCATAGAAGGGTTGTACAACAGTGACAGCACACATTCTGGCTGGGAAAAAGCGAAGAGTTCAAAATTATTGTGCTGCTCAGCAACACCCCCACAGTTAGCGGGAACCGAGTGCTCTTTTACTCTTCAATCACTCTCTTCACATCTTTATGCAACGTGTTATTTCCTCGCACAGAGGCTGCAGGACGTGGCAAAGCATCACACACTAAGATAAATTCTTGTAAGTTATGAGTTGTCGTTATGAAGAGAATGATATTCTGCTCATGCTGGTCYGTCAATCCCACGCTCAGGGGAGCTGTTGGGAACAGGTGACTCACCTGTGGATGGGCAGAATCCGTAGCGCTGGTCCGTGTCGTAGTCGGCAGTGGTGGCGCACCAGAGCCAGCCATCCGCRCGCCCCGCGGCCGTGCACTCCGCCAGCCACTGCTTCTTGTACATGAAAGGGAACACACACGGGGCCCCAAAAGAATTTCCTAGCAGAGTGAAGGTCTCTGAGAAGACAAAGTGATAATGTGAATATGAAAAATAGCAAACAAATGTGAACTAGGGAAAAAGCCTATGGCTGAATTGCATCTCAAAGTGCTTTCCATTATTCCTTTCCCATAATCATTAAAAAAAAAAAGTTTCAACACTCTTTTAAACTTAAGCTGCTGACATATATTTGAGAAAGTGTTATTCTGATGTAATTATCTCATAGATGAGGTCTACAATTAAATTTCCAAAGATACTTTAAAGTCCAAGATACTTTATAATCTTAATAAGGCTCCAGAGCTCTACCCTAAGGTACTTCTATTTCAAATAATATTAAGATTTATATTACAGGTGCAAGAGCAGGAACTAATATTTATAAGTCATATTTATAAGTCTTGATTCCTGGAAAAAAAGTAAACATACATTGGACTATCTTTCTCTGGTTTTATTCCAGTGACCACTTAAGCATCTCATACAGGGAAGCAGCTCCCACATAAAAGGCTAAGAGTTCAGTGTTCAAATATCCTGTGAGATGGCTTTTAGAGTGTTCATTTAGGATGTGAGAAAGCCATTCAGCTCATCATAAAAGGTAATTGCACTGCTGTCTATAATTATTACATAAGCATCCTCATCTGCTGAGTCAAAACACAATTCCTCCACTTATCAGTACTTTCAGACCTTTCTCAGCTCAACTATATTATGCCTCCTTCATGAGGATAAAATTTCATACCCATGTGACTGCACAAGAAACTAATCAATGTTTGTGTGTCCTATTAATAATGTAGTGATGCAGTTTGGTGAGCAATAGTGACTTTAGAGACTATTTACACAYTAATAATACATTTTTAGAGAATATATACAGAGTACATGTAATTCTTATAATACTTGAAATACTAATGTACTGTAATGCATAAACCAAAAAATGTGTATAGTACATGCTTGGATATAAATACAACATTAAATTCAAGATTAAGTACCTCAGTGCATGGATTTCCTAAAACTCTTTCCAAAAAAAATGAACAAATCAATTTTCTGTACCTTCATATCCCTGGGAACATAAAACACCTGTGGCCCCATAGATCTTCCACTTATTCTTTGCACTCAGCCCCTTCTTTAACAAAACATAATCATGCTCTTCATTKCCAGGACTGAAAAAYAAWTCTTCTCCTTGGATTGCAAGGAGGCTTTCATTTCTGCATTCCCACCACTGGAGCTCACTGTTTTGGTCACAGGGATGCAGGGTGACCACGGCCTGATCCTCCTTCAAGGACACCCCCAGGCATAGGTTCAGTTTCACACTCATAAGCTGGTGATCCGTGATCCACCTGAATTTTTGTAATTCATTGTCTTGATTGCAAGTGGCAGTTCTAACTGAGTGTGTAATAGATGCCTCAAGACAGAGSCTGTTGACTTCATTATACAGCAAAAAAGTTTTAATATCTGTAAAACAAAACAATACATAGCAAATAGTTAATATAGAATAGATATATAGTGGATGTGTGTTATGATTCTGCTTCCCATTCACATGAAAAAGTTGTCATTTCATTCATAGTAGGTAAAATCATTGTATTTTTTTCACAAGGTCCAGAGCAACATCAATTCTACTGATTAAAAATGAAGTAGACAATAGAAAATGTATGTCATRGTGCTATGTCACCATAGCATGGATCGGTGGTGGGCAGCAGCAGCAGTGGAGCTGAGCACAGCTTGTTGGATGGTTTTACTCATGTCAGTCATGGGAATTCCCTGAACCCCACTGCTATCACCATTACCTTGTTCCAGCCAACCCTCGGATCCATGGCCTTGCAGACCTCTTGACAAACTTTTCTCACCCTGCCAGATCCTACAGCTCTCCTAGTGGGTGCACAGCCATATTTGTTGAGCCATTTACCTCCCCACTCCTAAATCCACCTTTCCTTTCCTTTCCTTTCTTTCCTTTCCTTTCCTTTCCTTTCCTTTCCTTTCCTTTCCTTTCCTTTCCTTTCCTTTCCTTTCCTTTCCTTTCCTTTCCTTTCCTTTCCTTTC